AAAATGATTACAGAATTGAGCCATGATTCTGTAGCTGCATTGGTTAAGACAATACCATTAAAAACAGTTCATAAGGTTTGGAAAGTGTTCAGAATTGCTTTCAAGCTAATAGTTCACTTATGATTTCATATTATTTATCTGAAAAGTCAAAATGTGTGGTAATAAAATCAACATTAACAAGATAAAATAAACTATTGAGAAAATAATAGTAATAATAAAGGATGTCACAAAAATCAACAATTATTATTGTTGATTTTATGACATCCTTTATTATTACTATAATAGATATACTATAGATTACTATATAGATAGAGTGAAATTTCTCCTCTCATACACATCATGACCAGTATCTGTGTTGTTCTGACCTCTGCACTGAGCTCATAACTTATCTGTACCATGTCATTTGATTTTTAATGTTCATCATTCATTCATTCATAACCTGTGTGACAGGAGATGAACTTACTCTCTCAGAACAAGGAAACATTCCAGAACACACTTGAGAAATCCTGTTGTGTATAGGAATGAAACATTATAAAAGAACAAAACAACAAAGACTATGAAATTAGTTTGAATCGACCAATGATTAAAATATTTCATCTAACAAAATTCAGACAAGAATACCTTTTATGCCATGTACATTGTGTCAAACACATGATCGCTACAACCATAAACTCTTTGTGTAAGGTCAACTGACATCTATCCTACATATCCCCATAATATACATGTCTTCCTCCTTCCTTTGCAACAATCTCGTTCAGTAACTCTCTACCTTGAGTGGCTCTCGGGCCTTGTATTGAATGACCAATAGTTAAAAAAAATATTACAAAATTTATAGTAGGACGAGTAAGATTATTGGACATTAAAAAAATAAAATTAATATCAGAAAAATGTTATTTAGACAACAATTCTTAATGTTTAGCATGTTTATTTTATTATATTTATTTTATCGTTTGATATTTGTTTCTATTTTTTATATTCTAATATTGTTTTTGTTTCACTTTTCTGCACAACCATTTTTGTTCATTTTTATTCTTTATTTTTGTGCTATTTTATCATTAGTCCCTTTCATATTTTTTTTTTAATCTAAAATAATCTGTTAAAAACTAGTAACAAAATATTTATAATTTAATAAATTAGAAGTTTTAGTTCTATACTATTAAAACAACAACCGTTGTTTTTCTATTAGAGTGGCTATTTTAGGAAAGCAAGCATCAAGCCATTTTCATTATACAAATATGGAAAAAAATCACAAACAGTACAGAAAAAAATATTTATATTACAATGAAAAACTTTCCCAGCAAAATAAGCATTTTAAATACAAGGCAGACTACACTATCTATCTATCCCCATCTTTTCTTATCTATTTACCTTTCTATTTTAGTTTGTTCATATCTATTTTTTTAAAAAACACAAACAGATATAAGCAAAGCCATAAAAAATATGCACTAAAGAAAAATATTGTTTTAAATATCAGGTAACCAAAAAATTTCAGGGATTTTTTTACTGAAAGAAATCACAAACAATACAGAAAAAAAATCAGAAAAATAATTCACCTCTTATTCAAAAATCTTTTCCTAACAAGATACAAATATATAAATACCTTTTAAATAAAACTGTCTTGGCTTTGATGCAAAATCTTATACAATTACAATTTTTATGTTTTCTGTTGTAATTCTTCTATTATATATATGATTATCTAGAAACAGTAAGAGACTTCTGTAGCATTTTTCAAAAGTAACATCACTAATTTCATTTTACTTTCAATAAACTGTGCATAATCAACAGGCTGCTTCTGCTGCTCTTGTTTCAAGTTTAGATTCATAAGCTCAAACAATCAACTTTTGTATCTCCCTATAGATTTTGATTGTAATTACTGCAGGTACATTTTTTTGAAGGTTACCTGATAGTAAATAATTTGCTCTGACTTGAAGGCTTTACTTTTTTAAACTAATAAAAAATGCAAGTATTTTGAGGTATAACTATATATATATATATATATATATATATATATATATATATATATATATATAGACTTACCTCAGCAATCCAAAAGGGCCAGATTGCATGTATGTTTTGTAATGGAGTGTGGAGACAGCGAATTGGCGAGCTTCGGACTGAAGGTGAATTGGGCAGCACATCGTTTGGGCGGAAGTGGTGGTGTCTCTTGTAGCCATTTTTATTGACTGGTTCTGGGTACTCATTGGCTGAGTAATGGCTGGGTCAGGTGCATAAAAGCACAGTATGCTCATTCAAGGAGTCTTGCTTCTGACGAGGAGTGGTGTATTTGGGATTGAGAAATGGAGAGAATTGTGGACTTGTTTTGCTGAATGGACCTGTTGGACTTGCATATGGTCCCCCACCCGACCCATACTCATATTTGAATAGAAGCTCTGTTTTTGAATTAAACAGTATTTTTTATCCAACTACATCTACTGACCTGAATAATCGATAAAAATATTGTCTTGTTTGTTAATTGTGACACTGAGATTGTTAAACATTAATTCTAATCAGAAAAAGGGTTAAACCTCAAATGAACTATAAACTGGAAGATAAAGAGATGGAAAGAGAGAATGGGAGACATTTTCCCTGGAAATCTGGAAGTGAAGAAAGAGTCATCTGGGTTACCTTACCACTGAGAATTGGAACAATGCACCAAGAGTTTACTTTTTTTATCTACCAAAAATCTGACATGCGGGTAAAGCAAATTGGGAAATTAGAAAAACACATGTCATTAGCAAAAATAAACGCAGTCGGAAATTATATTTTTGTTAGCGAAAATGAATTGAAAAATGAAAACAGAGAGTTTAGCTCCATCTGTGCAGAGTAGCAGTGTAAGATGTGAAGTGAAGCAGGTTGGAATTAAGTGAAGAGCAATCCCTGTGACTACTCACAAGGAAGGCAGATAATTCTCCAAATTTGTAAAGTTGATTAAGAAAGCAGAAATATGGAACAAAGAAAACCTTTATTGGGATTAATGAAAATTGAGGAATCACCGAATTGCCAGAACTCTTTGGTCCCACACCAGTTTTGGGCTGAAGTTCATGTTAGCAGATGTCTTTGGGGAGCTCAGAGACTTTTGGCTGAGAACCCACATCGACTGCCTCTGAAATTCACATCAGCTGTCACTAGATTTCCTGATTCCAAGACTTTGAACCCAGCTCCTGCAGAAATTTAGGCAAGGCCCAGTGTTACTATAGAGATTGGTGTGGGAAGAGTTAATTTTTGTTGTACCAAGAGCTATATAAAGCAATTGAAAATTAATCCCATGAATCTCTTGTTTTACTTTTCATCGTGAAGATATTTTTTCTTTAATATAGCAACCTCTATGGCTTGAACCAGCACTGTGAGACTATGACCTTTGATTGTCCACGGATGAAATTAAGAACACAGCATGGGCAGAGTTGGTCTGGATTGAAGCAACCAACAACCAGTTTAGACTAGCATCAGCATTGACCAGTGCAGAGTTAGCCTGTGGTTAGAACATTGCCCTAAGATCCTGAACCTGAACTACTAAACATGGTTACACCACTGGGTGTAGGTGATGGCGGAAGGTGTTATATAATGAGATTTCCCAAAGGAGTATCTTCTTTTTAAAAAAAATTTCTTTTCATTGATTCAGAATAAAGAAAGAAATTTATTGATTTAGAATAAAGAAATAAATACATTGATAAGGAATAAAGACTGAGTGAAAAAATTCACTGATTTTAAATAAAGAAAGAAAGTCATAGATACATAATAAAGAAAGAAATTCATTGATTTAGAGTAAAGAGCCACAAAGATACAATGTCATAGTCTCATGAGCCAATCAGAAGCCAAATGGATCATCTTCATTCAAAAAGATACCTATGTAAAGAGCTGGATAACCCAGTTTCCCTTAAGATGATTTTTATTTGATCTCTGGTGCCAAGTGTCATCTTAAAACAACACAGGTTCAAATTACTCACACATATGAGCTACACTTGTATATAAACACAGTTACATACTTCATGTCATTCATTTCAACTCACCTGCAACAATTTTCAAGAATGACTACCACACTATGCATACATATTTATACATACACACTTGAACTCTTTTTCATATCTATGAGGACCTCCATCTTTGAACACTTGAGAATGCTAAATTAACCACTTCTCTTTTCCATAAATACGTCAATGTTAACTTGCTTTTTTTTACTTTCCTTTGTTATTTCCACAAGGCCTTATCAGTATATGGTGAGATATAACATTACCAAAGAGGTAACATGCAGAATGCCATAACAACATTATTTAGGAAAAAAAAATGACAATTTGAGAGGTGATGAAAAGTAACTGAAATTAAGGTAAAAGAAATACTAGTTAAAAATTAATAATGCTTAAAATATCACAATATTTTTATTTTATTATTAACCTATTCAGGTCTAGGTTCAACCATTATCTTCCCAACATATCACTATAAACTGTGCCTCTTACTCTGTAACCCTCTACCTCAAGTGGCTCTTGGGCCTTGTACAGGGTGGACTTCATCGTAAAGAAAATCTTTTACAAGTTTTATGCTATTTTATTGTTGCTTTTTACCTAAGCATCCCAGATTAATAAAAGTCAGCAAAACAAAATAATAAAAGAAATAAAAGTTGTGAAAAGGCTTCACGTAAAAATTTTAAAAAATATGTCACCCAAATACTAAAGATAGTCACAATGATTTTTACTGAAGAACAGAAATATTTTTTCATAGATCATGACAAATTTTTTAAGTTACTTGATCAGCGACTTCTATGACCAATATATCTACTAAATATCTACTTGATATTAAAAAAACAAAATAGCAACTGTAAAACATGCTTCTTCCTCCATTTTGAATGTACTAGATATTTGATCTATCCTCAGTGACCTTTCACACTACCATCTGATTCTTTGAGATATTGATTTTGTCAAATGCACATTTTATTTTTTTATTTTAACTTTTTGTTGCATTTGTTTTTCCAAATGATATTTTTTTCTATTTTGTTCATTACATTGCAGATCCTGGTGAAGAGCATTTTAAGACAAAAGTCCTTCAAGAATCCTTACAGGTCTTACTACCGGGGAGAGCTAAAAAAGAGTGGTCGCTCACACTCAGCCCCTGAATCATTCCTTGGTCTCTTCAGAAGGTTTGTACCCACCCACCCTGAAGAGCAGTCAGTCTAGTCACTTAGTACCACGTAGTCATCTCACTGTTAGTTCTGCTACAAGATGCATTAAAAAAACATCAAGCTTTACAAAATTGTAAAGTTTTCATTATCTCCATATTAATTCTGTCGCTTGTAAAGGACATTTTTTTCTTTGTGTAGAGTGGGTAAAGATGATTTATGGAGTTGCTACTGAACTAATGTTATAGATCATATTGTTATTAAGTAAATATTAATATTATTACTAAAGGTGCTTATTATTTTTATATAATGTCCAATATTACACTCTTCTAAAACTTTAAACCATTTTCTTAATGTTTTACAAGTCACAGAAAACAAATACCAAATTTCATTTAAAAAATAGAGATAATTAGTTTACAATCATTCAAATAATTTCTATTCTTTTACAGAGAAATAAATCATTAAACATAGTGAAATTTATTAAATCATATGACTACCATAAATTATGCTGAAAGGAAGCAAGGAAATTGTCTTGCTTCATAAATAATCTTATTTGGTTCTTCAAAATAACAACTTAATTAAACAAATAATCTCATTTCAATTATTATTTTTTTTTTAATCAGTGGCAATTTTCATCATTCTATGCCCCCCCCAAATTTAATTATATGCCTCAGAATAAATGATGAATAATGAAATATTAAAATTTGGTTATGGAAAGTTTGACCAGAATAACTTTTCATGAGAGTAGTTGATTGGTAAAGCTGGAATATATAAAGTAACTACCACATTTGAAATCAAAAATAGAAGAAAAGCAAAATGAGATAAAAATAAATTTTTGCTTTATTAACAAATCAAAAAATAAGGAAAATATTTTGATAAGAAATGAATCACACACAGAAAAAGACACCCAGAAGTAAGTGTCTGGATGGGGTTGTAATCAATAAGAGTTTAAAGACCATTCTTTATAGATTAAAATATTACAGATATAAAATATTTTTTGTACCACTGCTTTTTTTTTCCACATTTCTACATCAGGGCTTTGCCATCAACAATTTTTTGTACCTGGACATTATTCCCATATGATCAGTTTTGAAGTAAAAAATTACCAAATTGATAATTAAGGAGAGCAGGACCAGTTATTTGGCAGCAAAGTCCAATTCAAAACACTTCAGAATTTAAAGAATCTCATTGAAGAATCAGGTTCAATAACAACTGAAATATGACAAAATGCTATTCAAAGTTTTTATGAAAGATTGCAAATTTGCATTGACAATGTGTTGAAGAATATAAATTTAACTTGTTTGATTTGTTAATAAAAAATGTTCTTTATACTTCATTTTACTTTTCTTTTGTTTTAGGTTTTAAATGTGTAGTTACTTTACTTACACCATATATATATATATATATATATATATATATATATATATATATATACAGTAGGTAATAAAAGTATTTAACACATCATTTTTTTTATAAATTTCACAATAAAAAAATTGTTCCATTTGAATGATACTTACTTCAAATATTTTAATGAAAATTGTCTAATTAAACATAAAGGAAGATTAAGAAACATTGTTTTGATGTATTTTTATTGCCAATTTTTGAATTTGACTGCAAAAGTATTTAACATGATTTGTTAATATTTAGTAGCATATCCTCTATTCTGCCTTACACCCTCGAGTAGCTCTCTGTAGTTTTCAATGAGCTTCTTGCATGAAAATTTTGGCAGTTTCACCCATTCTTCTTCACAGACTTTCTTCAGTTCCTTGATATTTTGGGGATCTCTTGCATGTACTCTAAATTTCAATTTTTTCCACAAATTTTCTACTGAATTGAGATCCAGTGACTGGCTAGGCCATTCCAGAACATCAATTCCATTTTCTTTGAACCAGTGTTGAGTTGTTTTAGCCATGAGTTTTGGCTCATTGACTTGTTGGAATACAAAATCTCAGTCAAGCCCCAAACCTATTGCACTTTTTAATAGATGAGTTGATGAGATTTGCTTGTATTTTTCTGCATTCATTCTTCCTTTGATGGTATTTATCAATCCACCCACAGGGAATCGAATGTGGCACAAGGCCTTTTAATGTGGGTATCTCTGAGCCCGTAGGCCCAGCCAAAAATAAATAACCATCCAAACCCACCGAGGCGGGCCAGTTCCGTCAACCTCCCCCAACGAAACCCTACCCTTCAGCGGACTTCGTCCAGGTTCCTCTCTGCAAGCAGAGAGTTTGACAGACACCGGACCCGGCAGCTCACAAAGCGCAGATACTACACTTTGATCCTAGCCACCGGGGCGAAAGGGTATTCTTCCTTTGATGACTTCCATTTCTCCTACTCCATTAGATGAAAAACAACCCCAAATCATTACACTCCCCACCCATATATTTGACTGTTGGGATGGTGTTTACTGGGTTGTATTTAGTTCCTTTTTACCTCCATACTTTGGTGCACATGTTTCTCCTGAAAACCTTAATTTTCCTTTCCTCTGACCAAATAACTTTCTTCCAGAATTCATCTGATTTAAGTTCATAATTTTTAAGAAATTTCAAACTGTCTTTCACATGTTTTCATTTTAATAATGGACTCTTTCTTGGTATTCTTGAATCCAGGCCTGTACGATTCAGTGATCTTTTAATTGTATCTTTACTTTTATTCTGGCATTTTTCACATCATTCTGAATTTCTCTTTGAGTCAAAAATGGTTGTTTCTTCACACATTCCGGACTACATATTGTTCAGTATCCTCATTTAATTTATGTGGATGACCACTCCTTTAAATGTTTTCAAGAGTATCATATTTTTTTCCACTTTCAAACAACAGCACCTACTGTACATATAAACAAATTTAAATCTCGAGCAATTTTTCTGCAACCCTTTACCATCTTTGTGCAGGTTTATAATCATCTGTCTTTTGTGCAGGTTTATAATCATCTGTTGATCATCTTTGTGCAGGTTTATAATCATCTGTTGATCATCTTTGTGCAGGTTTATAATCATCTGTTGATCATCTTTGTGCAGGTTTATAATCATCTGTTGCATATCATTTGACAATTCTTTTGTTTTAACCATTTTTATAAGTTTAGATAACAGGACAATCTGTAGTGTATCAGATCTATTATCACTCTATGCCAATTGGGTGATGTGCTTGGTTAATACATATATTGAAGACAACCTGTGATTGGTTAAGTGCAAATCATATCAAAATAACTGAAAACAGTTTTAAAATGCCCTTTTTATCATATTATTTGTATAGGTGCTAATTACTTTTGCACACAATCAAATTCAAAAATTAGCAATAAAAGTACATAAAAACAATGTTTCTCAATTTTCCTTTGTGTTTAGTTAGACAATGTTCATTAAAATATTTGAAGTATCATTCAAATTGAACAATTTTTTATTGTGAAATTTATAAAAAGCCGATGTGTTAAATACTTTTGCTACCCACTGTGTGTGTGTGTATGTGTATATATATATATATATATATATATATATATATATATATATATATATTCATTGTTAAATTATTCCGCTGCTTTACCCTGTCACCTACACTTCCTTGCAAATCTCCCTGGGTGTGCTTTTGATAATGGTGGTTACTTTTTACCTTGCATGTCTATCCTACCATTGTATTTCTACTGCTGGTGTAATGTTGAAACGAAAGGTTTCTCTTGTGGATCACTTGTAGAAGAATCTAGCTTGATTTTTATATGGCTTTTTATTCTGAATTGTTATTTTGGAGAGGAGGTGGGAAAATGTTTAAGGATCTTGTTTGCAGCAACAATTTCTATATTGGGGTAAACAGTACGATAAAACCCTATTATTATAACCACCATCACAATAATTATTTCTTTGTACAGTTCTTGACTAAACAGATATTAGTTCGTTCACTACAAAATTGAATCTCTTCCTTTCTCATATATTTCTGTGAGGCAGTACTGAAAAGTTCCTGGCCCAACACACTAATAAGTATCTGAACATCAAACTTCTTGGAAGTGCTTCTTTTCAGCCTGGAAAATAAAATCAGCCAAATTAGCTCATATTCTTTGCCTTAATACCTTGACATGAATTCTCTTCTCTCTGTAAAGAATTTTGATAAAATTTCTTATCACTGGCATGCCACAAGATTAGTTGGAGAAGAGTGAACTCATAGGCATTTGGACAAATCACAGTTCTACAATTAGGCAGTAACAAAAAAGTCATGAATTCTATAATCAATCTTTGCAAAGTCCAATCAGTCATCTAACCAAGCAACCAAAAGTGGACATTGAAGTCAACACCAAGTGGCAGCAGTCTTTTACATGCTTGAATGCAATTTTCAGGCCTGAAGATTATATCTGCCTGATGATGGTTATTACATGAAACTCTGAGTAGCATATTTTGATATTATTGTATTAATAATATTATTATATATTATGCAAGTGTGTGTGTATATATATATATATATATATATTCTTCACCATTTGGTGCAACTCTGAGTTTCATGAACACAACAATCGTCAGGCACAAATTAATGATTGCTACATGCATGAAACGGTGAGGAATAAATGTATGTTTATTCTTAGTATAAGTTTTAGTTCTGTTATTTTACATTGAACATGGTTTTATTACCACCAGCACTCACTGTACACTATTATATATATATATATATATATATATATATATATATATATATATTTATATATATTCACTATTTGCCCATAGCTGGGATCCTAACAGGTGCTACCACCCCAGATCAGGGTGGACTTTGGAACAACAACAAAAAAAAAACTATTATGTAAATTTTTGTAACTTTGTATAATATTTATGCATTACACCTAATCTTTATTCAGTAAAAATTTCATTGCTAATCATGCATTACTTTTTAAGTAATACACATATTTATGTCTTTGTTGTTTCCATTCCTTATATTATGGCTGCTACTATATATATATATATAGGTCTCTGCTGTTATCTTCAGCATATGAGCATCCAGTGGCTCACTTCTTAGAACCAAAGGGACAGACTACCTGCACATAAGAC